CAGGGACGCAAAGACAGGAACATTCTCATAGTACGCGCCGTTTCTAAAATAACTGCCTTTTGTAGTTCTCTTTACTATGATCGTCGTCAACTTATATTAGACAAGGTATACTATAAGCGAATGTTGTGTTGGCTGTTCCTAACGCTCATTGTCGTTTGTTCATCTTATTCATTAATTTATTGACTGACTGACTGAATGTTGTATTAACGCATAGCCAAATCTACTGGTCTTGAAATTTTTCACTTAAATGTCTACACAGGTGACTACTAAGAAATCATCAATCGTTTTCGGAATTAACTATCTAAATTAACTATCTATTAGAGCTGTCTTATAACTTATCATGTAAAGATCTAACAAGGGGGTGAATGTATCTATCTAGAAATATTTTTACAACGTTAATACAAAGTACAGAGACTTGAAAATTTGCATAGATGTTGCTGTTACTGCGTAGCTGGGCACTGTAAAAAGTTTTTACAAAATTCATACCCTAAAGAATTAAAGTGAGGGGAGAAATTTGTATGGAGTAGCGTTATTTTGTGAATGGAAAAATTTAGGACTAATGATGGATGGGAAAGTACGTAATAGATGAACGACAAGATTAAATACATTTTTATAATATAAGTATCAGTAGCAATTCCGAAAATTCTTGATCATCACAAAAATAAATCAAGAATCGATCGTTCTTTACATTTTCAATTACTAAGACATTATTTATGAACCTAGAATTACAAGCGAGACAAAAAAGAATATACAGCGTGTGCAAATAGCATGTATAAGTTTTTTTCATAATATCCCAAAATTTTCCCATATCACTCCATATCTAAACGCACAAGAAATCTTAAATATGGCATCGATAAGAGAATTACACTTTTCCTGGTGTACTTATAAAATAATCAAATCGTAAAAGCCATCACGCTTATGCACAAAATTTGATTGCTTCCAAGATGCACTCAATAAAACTATGTCTAGAAAAATTGAGACTTTCATAAAATTTTCAAATATGAGAGTGCCAGCTATTCAGGAAGTTTTAATTTTGCTTCCAGAAAAATATGGAACATTTTACCCCCTTCTTCTTACTTACCCACAAGGTAACCTTGTGCGGCCCTGTATCTGTCCAACATTGTAATATGTTTAAAGGAAAAATAAATTTCAATATCAAGTATGCTAAAGCTACTCTTTTCTTTTTTTCGCTTATAAATGGTGTCGCTGTTTTGTTTTTTTCCTTTTTATGTTATTTTTCTTTGTTTTTTTTTCTATTTAATTTTTTGTGGTGGCTCACCAATTTATACCATAACGCGGCAGAAAGCGTCCCAAATCAGGCTCCACATGGCTCAGAGCCATGAGGTACACAACTATCCTTCAGTACAATTCTTGACGATATTTTTTTTAAATTATTGTGAAAAATATTGTATTTGCGATGACAGCGAAATTTTTTTTCCTTTATTTGTTTTATAAAAACCTTCAGCAGCTTGAAAATTGGCATGTACACAGTGATTTTTTTTTTGGCTTTGTTTAATTTGCCCTGTAAATATTTTAACAGGGAGTGAAAGTTTCTTTGGTATTTTCACGTCGCGGGTAAAATCTAGTACTGGTACAGGATGTTTTTGATGCGAAAGTTTGTAGAAATATTAGAAATAATCCTTTTTACGCAAATGCGATATTTTAATAATTTAAAATAAAAAAGTTTTCTTAATTCTACGATTTTTCATTGTCATCATCAACAGCTCACTATACGTCCCCACCGAGGGGCTCGGAGCCTACCCTAAAGTTAAGGGTGATTAGGCCATTGTCAACTTTCATTGTATGTTTGTGTTAAATATCATTTTGTCATTTTCCTTTTGAGAGCATATTTTTGTACTGCTAAATGGTACTGTAACTAATGTAACTGTCGTATTACCACAAACAAATGTTATATTTTAGTAAAAAAAATATTTACACTATTTTTACCACTAAAAGCGGAATTGTAAAGGTCACTTAGAAGTAAAATTTTAAGTAAAAGTAAACATTTTTTATGGAACATTAATAATGTCGTAGGTTAAAATTGAAAGAACCCTAAAGAATTAAAGTTAAACAGAATTATTTTCTATCATCATGAATGATTTTAATTTTTTATTATTGCCCTGGTAAGAATGTAGAATACTTAGTAGATGAGTCTTAAAAAATGAGAATGTCTAGCAAAGAATGTGTGAAGAAGAAACGATGAGTGAAAAAAGAATCGAAAACTGAACATGTAGCCAAAATTTAACTTCAAGTCAAGGTCGAGTTAAGAGTGAAAGATTGTCCAAGGCAACAGAAGCGGAACTCAAAAATTGATTAAGAGAAAGAGAAGATAATGCTTAATGGTATGAGTGAATTCGTGAGAGAGTACACCATCAAGGTCATATTATATCAGTTAGTAAATGAATCAGGAGTAAGGAAGATGTATTTATTGATGACAACAAGGTTCATCTTAAAGGTCCCCAATTCTCACCCAATTCCACAGACTAAACGCTAATGTACAGAGGCAGGTGGATTATGTTAAGCTTCGCAATATGAAATATAAATTATTGGCAAATTAAAAAACGCTAAGGGAAAAGTGGCTATATTGCATGATGACACTAACTATTGCTGTCAGGCATTCACACCAACGCCTATTCTGTACTTTTTTCGTTGGTACCACCTACACACCAACTCACGCTGCCCAGCAATGATCACCTCACAGCAAATGAGATACGTCTATCATATGCATGATTTTCATTCACAAATTCTCACCTGCCAACGAGAGGCTCTTTGGCCCTTGTTTTCCTCTAAAAATCTATTTTTTTATTTCGCTACAGACCTTATATCTGATGCGATTTGGCAGAAAGACACCAATCACATTGTCCTCTCTCTTGCCTTTAAGTAACCCTGAGCGTCGAGAAAATGCGTAATAATGAGTCCCGCGAGGAGAGGGCACATTCTTAAGCATTTCCTTTATTCATTCTACAGAATGTGCCGGTACCATTGACGACCCCATCACCGGGTATAACTTACTACTTTCTCCTGACGATTCAGAAGCCGTCCTTACATTAATTATGATGGCGCAAAATAGTCAACGGTCTGCAATATCCACAGCGCAGCCACCTGAACCAAATAGCTACGAAGCTCCTACACAAGATGATGCATCTTCACATCCATCATCTGATACGAGTGCCTCTATTCCATCGTGGCCTTCGAGTTGGAGTCTTGGAAATAGAGAACAAGCGATCTATATTGATGATACAAGCAGTTCAGAGGGTACATCAAGCGAGAAGCCGGCTAGATTCGACTGTGATCAATGTGGTAAATATTATGCGACCTCTTCTAATTTGTCGCGCCATAAGCAGACGCACCGCAGCTTGAACTCTGAGTTAGCTCAGCGTTGTCGCGATTGTAATAAGGTGTACGTGTCGATGTCAGCGCTGGCCATGCACACGCTGACGCACCGCATGCGTCACGCGTGCCGCGAGTGCGGCAAACAGTTCTCGCGGCCCTGGTTGCTGCGCGGACATCTGCGCTTGCACACTGGCGAGAAGCCTTATAAATGTATCGTTTGTGGAAAATCTTTCGCTGATAGGTCCAATCTTCGAGCTCATCTACAAACACACTCCCCTGATAAGAAATTTGAGTGCATGCGTTGTAACAAAACTTTTGCCCTCAAAACTTACCTGAATAAACATTACGAGTCGGCATGTGCGCGTCTTCCTACTAATTAATTAAACTCTGACAACGAATTGTTTGCAACGAATAATTTCACTATTTACTTCTTTACACCTTTATGTGAGATAAAATTGTTGTCGGCACTCCAAATTGCGATAGCATTCTAACTTATAAGCAATAATTATTACAATGTTGTCATATTTACTCTTGCAAAATGATATAAAATCGACTAGGAAATTGTTCTATATTTTCGCGTACTCACTATCTAATAAAACAGATTATTTTATGTACCATACCATTATTTTATGTTGCACTTTCTTTGACTCAAAATATTTTAGCTTAAGGCAATCTATTTAGCAATCTTCTTGTGACATGATAGATATTTAGATAATAGTACAGAGTTTGTTATTTGGTGATATTTTTGTGGTTGAAACCGACCTCTTCTTCGTCATCATTAATGTATGTATATTTTTTTTACTGTGTTTTTATTTTATGATTGCTAGAATTTTTTAAACTTCTTTAGTTAGTTCATAGACAGTAGTTATATGGCAGCTTGGGATATTACGTTCAATGTTGTATCATCGGTATCCTACACCACACGGTTATTGGAGTTAAATTAAAAAAAAATATATATATATAGTACTAGCTGCACTGAACAAGCATTTAATTATCTCTTTACATTTGTATTTGAATCATATAGTATTTTAAGGCTAAACTAGAAGTAATTATAGAGAATAGAGCAGTTCTCTACTTATATCTACTTTAAATCATTTTTCTTTGGTTATGAATATTCAATCCACCAATTTTATTTAAAACTACTTTGGTTTGTATAAATAACGTTCTGGTTTTTTCAGTGGATGAGGTTGATGACGCTGTTGCCGGGCCGTCGGGTTCGCAATCTATGGATACAAGGGAGGCTGTAGCGATGCCGTCGCTGATCTTGTACGATCTCTCCAAGCCGAAGCAAAGGCGTCGACGCAAGACCAAAAAAGTAGAAACTTCTTCGGACAGCAGCTCCAGCGATGAAAACGTCTTTCTTGCTCGCATACAAGCAAAGAAGAGGACGTTGGAGACGCCGCAGAAGGAAAAAACTTCAGCTTCTCCGAAGCGGAAGAAGATGTAAGATGCCCGCGTTAATTTCTAATGACGTAATTCATTATTGCATCTTTGTAGTAGTATTTACTTTATTTTATATCTACGCATTACAACAGTTTATTTCGTTTTCCTGGCAACTGACCTCATGTCAATCGTTTCAGTCAATTTTTTAATGTGTGTATAAATGTTTAACATGAGCATTGTGTATTTCTTGCTGTTTGATTATAGTAGAAGACATCTAAATAGAAACTTATTATACTGCGCAAATATAGTTCATTATTTTTTTTTCTGACATTACATATTATTAATAATGACTGATTACTAATAATCATGCGATTTGATTTGATTTTTTTATCGGTTATAGGGTTATTTAATAAAAGCTCTCCTGTTGCCATTGTTGTATTCGAGTGTACTTGTCAAAGAACATTCAATACAACTACGTAGTACCCACATTAACACGGCTAAAAATGAGTCATTTTCCAAGAACATTTTGGTCAACACGCGTTCCGTTGTATTGTCTCGATCTATAATTTAATAACAACAATCTATTTATTTATTCAATGATTTAAATTATACGTATGTTAAAAAATATGTTTTTGTCGTTACTTAGTAGGTATATTAATTTTTTTGAAAAATTGAAACAGTTAAGACTTTGTAAAATATAAATGAAAGAAGGTATTATAACCTTTTAAAAATATTTAATGTTTAGGCATGAAACTGGGGTTCTATCAATTTCTCTCATACTGTTCCGTGTCTCGATAGTCGCAATGTGCGCATTTGTGTAATCCCAGTTTCCTCTAAAACTTAGTTGCGGTGCATCTTTTTATTTCTATATATTAATAACGGCTACAAGCTGCACTTGGTGTACATAGATAAGTTTTTAATCTTCATTTAAAATATTGAAGATTTTTTTTTGATGAACTGGTTATTTACAAGTTTTAAAACATTAGCAAAATTTATAACGAATATAAAATAAATGTAAGTCAATCTCTCACTGTCCTTCAATGGCAATTGGAAATTTTGACAAAAATCTTTGGTCATCTTATGTGATGCCATCCAATGTTGCTTGAACTTGAACTATGAGTATAAAATACGTGTACATTGTAGTGCCAAAAAATTTCCTTCATATTTTTGTTCATGTTAAAATATATATAAACCTATATATGATATGTCTGTAATTTGTTTTTGATATGCTTTTCCTAGTATTTTGCTAATGAACTGTTTATTATAATATAATTATGCGGTTTAAAAAATCGCGACACTAGAAAACATGGTGTTAACTGTAATGACTTCATTCTATTTAAATCTTTAATTTTTTACTACTTATATATATTTTTTCTACTTGAATTTTATTTTACAAAAATACATTATAATTACACAGATATTGTATTAAAAATACGGGCATTGACTTGATATTTGGAAGTAGATATCATCGTGCGTGCCTAAAGTTGTCAAATTTAAAATTTAAATTGCCCTCGTCGGTGGCAACAGGCTGCCTAAGCGGCCAGACAAAGTATGCCGTAAGGTTATTGAAATTTGCTTGAAAATATCGCATAATATGTTTATTTTATTCGTATTCCAAAGTTGATTCGAATGATGATTTTTTTTATTTATTACTGTTTTACTGTTGATTTTTTTTTATTTAAAAATGATTTAACTTTCAAATATGTAATATTATTTACTAAGTAAAAATTTTACAATGTTTTCAATTTGTGTTTAAGATTTTTGTGAAGTACGTAAACTTAGCACAATTCAACTGTATTTACTTACAACGACTAAGTTTCAAAGTTGTATTAATTACACTTTAAAAATTGTATTCTATATGAAATAAATGTAATCTGTGGATAAGTTGATGTGTTTATATTTATTTGTCTTTATGTATATACAAGTTACTTCGTATTTCTCATTATATCTTAAAAAGTTAACTAATTTATTGTAGTACACTGGGCAGAAAAAAAACTGGATTTTGTTAGAGGGTTTAATTTAAATTATTCACAAAAATTCAACGTGAGCAGAGAGAACATGAGATAAAAACTATTACCTATATAATTTTAATTTTGTTTCATAATGATATATTAAAAATGTATCTAGTTTTAGAAATGTATATGTATAAATCAATCAGATAAGTAATTTCAAATGCAATAGTACAGATCCAAACTGAATTGCAGGAATACATAATGTATTTACTCTGCATACTGGCTGTTTAGACTAGCGTCAAAGGAATGCCTCTGCTTCAAAGTTTGCAAAGGATGCCGCATATGTTTACCACTGGGAAGTTGTACACAGTGAAAACTAAGGAGTAGATACACTCTTAAATAGGTTTCTTAACATTTGAACATTTGATTTTGTAATAATGGTAAATATATCGTGGCCAGGGTTTTGATATTGGCCACTTAGGGCTGAATAGTACCTTTTTATGAAATTAAATTATTCTATGAATCCGATGGCCACATAAAGTGGCCATCTTTAGAATGTGGCCATGGCATGTAACATGACTTTGATAAATAATTACTCGTAACCCGAGTCGTGCGGCTACTTGCGTTACTGGTACAGGGTGTTGGTGTACTTAAAATAGGTACTAAAATCTGGTGTGTCAATTATTGGCTTTGAAGATCATGACGCGACTGATTTCCTGTTTGTTGGACACCTCTTGCGATTGTCCTGAAGCTAACATTAATGGCAAGATAATTAAGTAATTTACAGCATGTTCGAAGATGAAGTAATCTTAATTCAGTTGTTCGATGTATCAGCTACGAAAATAAACATAAAATCACGACGAAGTTCAAATCAAAATGCCTGTTTTTGGTATGCGCATAAACAACGAAGATGGAACCATGAAATCAAGGTAAGTTTATTTATTTTAATATTAATGAGAACTTTTTACGTGAAGAACTGAATTGCGTTTTCATTGTAGATAACGTAATATAAATTTTAGTAGAGGTTTGAATGACGTTAAGTACAGCATTTAGTTTGACAGTTTTTCCGCAAGTTTGGTAGAGATATTAGGCACAATTAGGTAGTTCGCTTGAACACAAATTTCACAGTAGTATTCATAAAAAAAATATCATTTATCGCCACATGTTACATTGTTATATATTAAATACACGCAGAGTAAATTTTAGGCACATTTTTAAAAACACGTGCGTAGGTATGAGAGATAAGGAATATTAAAATTTTATAAATAAATATTTTATGTGGAGTAAACATGATATGATTGAAAGAAATTAATAACTGCCTGGTTTCTGAAGTTCTTTTATCCATTTCATAGTGTTTATGATTCGATAACTTCAAAGAATGTGTTTTCGATCTACGTATCTTAAGTTTTACTGCGTTGAAACTTAGTTTGATTTAACTAACTAATTTTCGAGGTTAATTGATAGGAAACTTGTATATCGACGTTTTTTGCACAAAATTGTCATTATTCACGGACGTTTACACACTGTAACTAAGCAACGAAAATTCCTTTTTAGTTTGTATCGTTAACTTACAAGTGACAACTATCATATTGACAATAAAATTATACGAAAAAAACACAACAAAAAAAAACAAAACAACAAATTTCCTAATTTTACTTCCTATATTTTTTGAAAAATTACAAGGGTAAAATCAATTTCAAAAGCATTCTAATTACAGAGTTATCTATCAGCGGAAAGTGTAACTACTAATCGGTTCGAAAGCGATTGAACGTTTCGTTTGAAACTGAGAAAGACAAGTAAAGCTATCTTATAGTTAACACTCACTAGATAATAAAAAAATAAATGGAAACTTCAGAAACCGGGCATTAAAGGAAGAATTTTAAACGCAATGGGATGATAGTACGGTAGTATAAAAGAACATGAAAGGTCATTATAAACAAGTCTTATCGAAATATCTCATAAAGTCAATTACCCTAAGGAAAATATGATTTTCATTACTGTTTTGTGGGTCACTATTCAAAGATGAAAATGTTATTATACATTAAATTAAGGTATTTAAAAAAGCAGTGTTAGAACTTCGCAGAATTGAGAAATCATCAGATGCTGACCAAAAATTAACTGACGTAAACTAGGAAGTATTTTAACTCGCACTAGGAAGTATGACAACGTCTAATGGAATCGCGTAAAACTTTTTATTTCTTTAACGTGATCCATCAGACGTAAACACAATACAGCGACATTTACAATTGAAGACAACACAATAATCATATTTAAGCTGACAATTTTATAATCCCATTACGACAGAAATTAATATTCTATCATTGAGATGGATCCGAAAATGATTTTAATTACTTTAACTATACAAAAATGATTCAACCAATGAACCATCTTTAGAAAATACCGCGTGTAGGCAAAAATAGTTTAAAATCGAATATTAATTTGGGCAGTTAAGTACTATTTATTGATATAAGAATTTAATAACATGATATTATATGCATTTTAAAAATTCGAAGCATATCTTATAATAATATTGTAATTATTCTTGAACATTTCACACGCATTTTCTCTCATAAGATATTCATAATGTACTCACCTCATCACACATTTTAAACGGGCAAACTGCATATGTACGTAGCACTTAGGTATACGCCACTAAGGAAATTGAAACAACGAAGTCTCGAAGATTTTAGGTCGATATTATAGATTTAATATCTAATCGCAATATATAAAATATACATAAATAAATAGATATATAAATTGGTCATTACAAAGATTTTTATATTATTTGTTAGAGGTTATTAAAATACATAGAAATATAGATCCTTCTTTATTTAAAGATTTCAAAAAAAAATTATCGATATCTGTTTATTGCTATTATTAATTTGATTGAATAATAATTATTATAATTGTGTAATGTATTCGACGAATATCACTGATAGACTGAAATCATGAAGCAATATCGCGGAATTCAGTTTATTTTATACATAAATAATATACAAAAGTTCTGAATTATTGCAAACAATATAATTAATAAAATTTATTCAGAATTAAAACAATTATTTTAAAAGTTTTTATATTAAAACACAATATTACAAATAGAATAATAGAAGTATTTTGATGAACTTTTAAAAGAAATTAACATTTCTAATCAATTATTATACATAATATAATACATATACAAGAAACATAATTTAGTACTTCTTACTAACGTAAAGAAAACTTAATAAACAAAAGTAATTGTGAAACTTCGAAAAGCAATAAATAAATATAAGATAATGTTATTTTAACAACACGATAGTTATTCTAAGATGTTATTTAGAAATTATGAGGATTTTCATTAATTAAAAATAATAATTTTCGGGAATATAAATGTGTTTTTGTTAATAACCCCTATAATATGTAGCATTCAAATCTGTTTCTTAAATATAATATAGCACGTCTTGAAAAGTGAATCGATTTCGCAGTCCTTGAAAGGTAATTTTTTTTCTTAATAAAACACACAGTTAATTTTTTTAACAATAATTTTATAGGAGAAGATTAATCATAAAATATTCGAAAATAATCGGTCATCTTTTAACGTTATAAAATAAATATGGATCAGTAATTCAACGTTTAAATTGTAGAGTCCTTAACATGGCAGCGTGTCATTTGAAACAATGACTCCCAGTCAAGTATTTATAGGCTTTTGCTGTTGAATTAAAGTGCCGTGAGCAAGCAAAGTGCTCTTCAATTATACATTTTTATTTTTCTTTTTATGATTTTTATTTCACTTAAAATAATAGAGAAATAGTTGAGAGAAATTACAAACTACACTACAAATAAAATTAGACATTAGTTAATAAAATAATTTACAGGGAAAGGTGAGATCAAACAGGTTGTGATAAACAAGGTGAATCGAATTATTCGAATATTTTTCCTTATTTGAAATATGATTGAATATAAGTAAAAATATAAATCCGATTATGTCAAAATTAACAGGACGGTATAAGTTGAAGTAGCAACAGGCGATGAGGGGCGGACTGGACCGGGTAAGTACGTAGAATTGCGAAGCGGTAGAAATATTCAGAACTTACAGAACGCCTAAACTCGTGCACGTGATTTATTTTTAGAGAATGAAGCACCTAAAACTCGAAAGTCCTTTCCTTTATATTAACAAACCATCTCTTGTTAAGAGCAATTTTGATAAATAGGTGATGTCAGATAATAGTTTCATATCGTTTGCTTATTTGTATTCCCTACAAAAAGAAAAGAAGATCGAATTATAATCCTGGAAATTGCAAGTTGATATATAAACGGTTATATTTGAGTATAAAATGGTAATTGTGAGATACAAAAATTTATGTACCTATGAGAACTAATTTTAGTACCGATTTATCGAATTATTAGTCAACTTAGAAACAAATGAGAGTCGAAGCAAATAAATTTACAGACGATTTGAGATAACAAAGAGAAAATGTTCAAATAGTATTCTATAGTGGTATTATGATAAGTCCCACGCAGGTCTTCCCGCCAGGCTTTCAAATATTAGGCGACGACTAAACCGCCGTAGTGTGCAGATTCCTATTGTCTGACAATTTTGCTCTAATAATTTACACTTCTGTGGAATTTCATTCATACTTAGGATTAAGACGTCTAAAATTATAAATATGTTTGGTAATATTGTAAGTATATTTTTTTATTTATAGGGTTATTTACTAAAATAATTGTTTTAATAATACAATGGTCTTAACATTGCTACATCACTTGGTTTAGATTACAAAAATATTCTTACTGTAAAGGAAAGCTGCGGCTTTGACTTTATGGGTCACTGAGGAGTTATAAAACGGGGGACCTTTTACGATGGCATGCTTGTTGCGAGACATGACTGGGAAAACAAAAGGTTTCCACATATAATTTTAAGTATTCGATGATTTTTATAACATTGGATATTTAGTTTAGAGTTTATATCTACTAACAAGTTTTTATTTTTTATTTTATTTGAGTATTTATTGAAAAAAAAAATTAATTGGATTGGAAAAATTTCAAAGCCAAACTTAAAAGTTTAATATGCCAGCTATAAGGGAAAAGTTAGTGAATGCGCAAAGTAATATAAGTAGTAAAGGTGATTGAGCGCGCTCGAGGTGCATGTGCGAGCGAGGGCCTTAGCGCTCCCACTGGTTGATCGCGCGCGGGGTCGCGGTCCCCAAAAGTGTCCCTCTAAGTTGGCGCGGCAAAGTTTGTGCGACGTGGTGTTATCCGCCCGCCGCCCACATCGATCGAACCCGCGGCGCGCGCACCACCCCATGCCGCATATATACCGCGTGCCTGTCGTGTACCTTCCACAACGCAAGAGAACGCGCGCGATAGCCTACAACGCCGCTCGCCCGGGGCGCCGCTCTTTCTCTTTTCTCTCTTTTTCTCTGTTCGTCTGTTTCTCGCTGATGCGGCCGCGCTGAAGCCGATGCAGGCACCGCCATGCCGCGCTGCCTCATGGCCAAGAAGTGGAAGGCGGCTCCTGCGGCGGAGCTGGCTGACGACACGGACGAGGAGATCGACGTGGTGGGCGAGGGGCGCGGCCGGAGTCCCGCGCCTGCTGCCACTGCTCCGGGCCCGTCGCCCCGAGATCCTGAGCCCACACTCCTCTACAATGGTAAGCATACCGTTTTAATCATGTTTTGCCCTAGCCGTTGGAAACATCAGCAGAGACCAGAGAAGACTCCCATATCATCACCCGGATCCAGCAACATACAACGTGCGAGAAGAAGACCAAACACTCTTCCATTTTTTCCTTTAGGTCAGAAACGCAGTCCACCAGATGAGCAGTCATCGACATTTAGACTGTAGCGGGCCCACGAGGAGAACACGTGTTTCATTTTACAACTTAAGTTCTTAGCGCATTTCGTAAAACTTTCGCAAATTACGCCATTTCATATTTTATTTTGTTCATAACAATTCATCAATGCTTTGCCAGACGCGATCGCCTGATATTTTTGCGAATTCATTATTTAAAAAAAATAGACTCTTCATGTTTTATGTGAGTCGATTATACAAATGCTTCGCGCCCGCGACTTTTGACTCGAAATTTGTATTCATTTATTTTTATAAAATTATAATAAATTTTCGTTACTTTCCAAGTAAAACATTTGACGTATATCAGACATGCATATAAAACACATTGAATTATACAAGAAAAAAAGGTACTAAATGCTAGAACTTATCGTTATACATTAGTACAAGGTAAACATTAACACTAAAACATAAAATATAATTGTAAATAAACATCATGGATCAACTAACAAAATATTCATATTTGAGTTACGAAAGAAAATCCTTATATTGATCAGATAAAATGATTAACAATACACCATATTAAAATTTGCAATCGAAAAGTTGCATAAAACGTCCGAAGTGAAAATCAAACTATAACAGAAAAATAAACGCTTGTTGGTAAAAATAATTGGATGAACATTTTTCACCTACATAAAGCGCTCAAATAAGTTTTTATTCGAAAAGGTTTTTAGCAACGCCACCTGCGGAACGTAATTCCAAAACTTTTTACACGCTATATTGAAATGATTTTAACAACACTTCAATTTGATAGAAAAAAAATATACAATTGGTATTTGGAAAAAGTATATATAATCTTCAATTTAATGTTAATACACCGCCACAAATGTCAATTCATTAGGCGTTACCATGTTGACATTATTACGTAAGGCTTCAATACAACAGGTATAACTTGTAGATCGTCCTTACAGAGAACTGTTTATTCGCAAACTAAGTATCTTAAAGACTATTCTTACAGATAAGTGGATTCTTAAATCCACACAGAAATACACTAAAATGATATTCGGAGACTACTTAATGCTTATGCTTATACTATGTTAAAAACTTGATAATAAAAACATTTTCAACTTCAAAAACTTACCGACTTTATAGTTCTAACGTCTTCATTATCGTTTACTCCGGTATTCCTAATGCTGGACATAGTTCTATTGACTGTCATATAGATCAGTTCTCTGGTATCCACATCGTAGGTACTGTTACAACCTGATCAAAGGTCCGTTTAAAGGTCTATCTACAATCCTACGACCTCTCTTTGACCTCTGATTCTGACATTTTCACCAATGCTACAGTTTAAGTCCAAGCTCATTATCTGTCTGTGGGAAAAGTCACAAGTAACATATAAAATCATGACTGGATGTCTGGATGGATGGATAGATAGATGGATGTTTCAAAATGGTTGGAGTAACTACCTTTTCAATACGAACTCTTAATAATAAAAACTTGATCGATACAAACTCTTAATAATAACTAACATTAAATGCGAATGTTTAATATATGGATGGATGGATATCTGTTAGAAAGTAACTCCAGAACGACTGCATGGATCTCGATAAAAATTGGCATAGATGTGAAACGTAGCCTGGAAAAATACATAAGTCGCGGGCGACAGCTAGTAATGAAATAAATTCTCATTTGTTTTAATAACACGCGGCCGAAGTCGCGTGCTACAGCTAGTAATAATTATAAAACGAAAATTAACGTCCAAGTTGTGACGCCAACTAAATCGGTCATAAACTGTGTGTCGTGATATTGTCTGAACGTTGCTGTATCATTTTATGAGGATCTTACTGATTTACGGCATCAGGGACTGTTGTGATTGGATCAAACTTAAACGAGAGGATTTAAACTAACCAAATGTATCGGACGATTACACATTTAAATCCCATTTTCTTTATGTAGCTTTCTATTTTTTCATTATTCTATATGTAATAACTAACCTGCGTCACCGTCCGCGTAGAATTTTTAAAAAAATAATACGTGTTCTTCAAGACTATGTTCTACATCTGCGCTAAATTTCATTACAATTCGTAGAGCCGTTCCGGAGATAACTTCAAACAAACGTGCATCCATCCATCTAAACATTCCTATTTGTAATATTAGTAACAAGTAAGATGAAATATATGATTATGATAAAACAATTAAACACGATAGTTAGTTTTTTACCTATAATTTTTTATTTCCTCTAATAGCTACCAAGTGTTATAACTACACAGAAAAAGTTGTCGTTAATTCCTCAGCGATAGTTTTCCTAGAAATCATTAAAATTTGATAATAATCGTTTTTAAACGATACATTCATATTTTAAAAGAAGTAGTGTAACACGGCCAGTAGCAATTTTTATATTGTTTGCATTACGTAAATCTTATAAATGTGAATGTTTGGATGGATATTTGTTACTACGTATTTCCATAAAGGCTCTGAAATTTTGATAGATGTAACTGTAACATAAAGACTAGTAAGTTGTTTTTTAATACTGCGCTGACAGAGTCACGGCCAAATCGTAGGTTTCCTCTTGCCAAAATATCTATACGAAAAAAAAGTTTTCCATCTCTGTTTTTCTAGAGAATCCGAGAGACAGCATGTTTATGTGTAGGTTCATTGGCAGTGAAAACGCTGTCTATCCCTCTCGGTGACAGACAAGATTCGATAATTTATTAACGCTTTTAAACGAACTTCTTAAGATGTTGACCGAAAATTTTACTTTTATCCCCTAAAAATATAAGATCTTATTTTTTATTCATTCTTTTAAAATCATTGTATAATTAAAAAAATGCAGAGTAATTTTGTTAAACTTCATTGACTGATAAATAATATTTTCCTAAAAGTATTTGTTGGGTTAAAAGTCCTCACCAAGTTTCAATGAAGCACTTGCTACTTAAAGGAAAGTTTTTATAGGTCCCATTTTACAAAGCTTAATTAGCGGGAGAGCACATTTCTTGCAGCAATTGTTTACGCTTTCAGAACCGTGAGCATGGTAAAAGAAATCCTTTAAATCAAATAAATAGTTTATGTAAACAAATAAATATTCTAATACGTACTTAAATAATAAATTCCTACACATTATATTGATTACAAAGACACGTATTTATGTTGAGTAAACTAAAAGTAATAGAAATAATGCATTAATTATACATACATTCCTGTTTAACTATGCAGAAACACTATTAGTGCAATGTAAAATCACGCAGTGGACAGCGGCCGCGAACACGTCGTAATTAATATCATAATAATGTAATACTCCCTTTGAAATAACGTATCAAGCAAATTCTAATTACACAGACGAGAGACTAAGCTTTTTGTCATGTATGCATGTTTTAGGTATTCGGTTGTTAATCAACGCGGCCGATATCTCCCCTAGATATCCCCTTTGCAAATTAGAATTCGGACATGACGTTTTAATTGCACTCCCATTAGGTAATTCAAAGCGGAAACACGTATGTGTACATGCACCGTACTTTATATACACAGAGTACCATTGAGCTTTGAAATGAATCGGTCGAACAACCACACGAGAAGATGGCCCCGGGGGTTCGTAGGATTGTGTGCAGTCAAAGAATTAAATTCACTTCCCAGCTTAGTATCGTATAACGTTCAGCAGTCTTATTGTTTTCAGGTTCAGCCTCTGTAATAAAACTGAAAAATATAATATATTTACGCTATAATTTAGCACTACACAAGTTTTTGATATAATTAAATTCTGAGCTTTGACAAAACTTTTCACCGAAGTGGGTAGGAAATTAAAGTCCCTGAATGTAAACCGCTCGCCGGAATGTTCATTTCGACAGCAAATCGGATTACAGCGTGCGTTTGAAATTGTTTGAATGCAAAGTATTATAGGACTTCAAATCCTCTGAAATTACCTGTACCAAACGCTAGACTTCATAAAACATTTAACATTCAGTTGAAGACTCATTGTTTGTTACTATATTTCAGTTTCATTTATAATATCGTTGAATATTTTTAATTTAAAAAATTTGGAAAGTAAAGTTCCACACAAGTATATCCGATGACTTTTTAAACTAATATCTAAGTGAATATTCACCATCGATATTTTCCACGTTGGTGTGCTCTACTCGAAGGTCTGGTTGCCTTTGGTATCCACTGTGGGCGTAGTTGACAACTTTTTAATCAAAAATATTCTCTTTTACCTAACATACAGGCGCTTCATCGAAATATCCGTACCTAAATCTAATCACAACTTTTCCTTTGAACTACGGTTTATATAAACGTCCTTTTATATTTTGTCTATATCATGTTAAAAATATATCCATAGGTTTGTAAATGTCAAATTAAAATGATGATATTTTTCCATTGTCGACAGAATAGACTGAACATTTTAAAAAATAGAAAAAAACACACAGCTTTGATGTATTTTTCCCTTTGCACTGACATTTTTAGGACATAACAATAGGCTTGTCGAAATCAGTGAACTGTAGACATTGCTACGCGGTGTTTCAACTGTTCGCTTTGAACACAACAAGTTAATCTACGGTCTGTCGAATACTGTTCCGATTTTTTGACACCCAGTGAAAATGTCAACATACATATGTGTATGTCTATATGAGTAACAAAACGTTGTATGTTCCATTATGTTAAGGAACATTTGCTGTACTGATTTTCGTCTGTCGTGAATGTAAATTTATACGAATACAAATATTTATTTACAATAACAAATTAGAAACAACTTAATTACATAAACTTAAACGGGCAGTGGTTTAACGAGTTGTAATTTAGACACAAACGATTTTCCAGTTGAAGCGTTTCGATTACACAAACAATATTTACTCGAGCTACGACGATGAG